AGTCTATTCGTCTATGGGATGTCAAAACAGGATAATAAAAAGCCAAATTAAATGGCCATTCTAGTGCAATCACGTCAGTCTGTTACTCACCTGATGGAAATGCATTAGCATCTGGTGGTGAAGATAAATTTATTCGCCTATGGGATGTTATGAGTTTGAAAAAAATATCTAAATTGGATGGCCATCGCGGAACTGTCTACTCAGTCTGTTTTTCTTATGATGGAAATATGATAGCTTCTGGTAGTGATGATAAGTCTATCCGTCTATGGGATGTCAAAACGGGGTAATAAAAAGCCAAATTGGAAGGTCATACTCATTTTGTTATGTCAGTTTGTTTCTCTCCTGATGGAAATACATTAGCTTCTGGTAGTAATGATAAGTCTATCCGAATATGGAATGTTAAAATAGGATATTAAAAAGAATAATTGGATGGTCATACCCATCATGTTAACTCAGTCTGTTTCTCTCCTGATGGAAATATATTAGCTTCTGGTAGTAATGATAAGTCAATCCGTCTATGGGATGTGAAAATAGGATAATAAAAAGAATAATTGGATGGTCATACCCATCATGTTAACTCAGTCTGTTTCTCTCCTGATGGAAATACATTAGCATCTGGTAGTGAAGATAAGTCTATCCGACTATGGAATGTTAAAATAGGATAATAAAAAGCCTTATAGGATGGCCATCGCGGAACTGTCTACTCAGTCTGTTTTTCTTATGATGGAAATATAATAGCTTCTGGTAGTGATGATAAGTCTATCCGTCTATGGGATGTCAAAACTGGGTAATAAAAAGTTTAATTGTATGGCCATCGTGGAATTGTCTACTCAGTCTGTTTCTCTTTGGATGGAAATATAATAGCTTCTGGTAGTGATGATAACTCTATCCGTCTATGGGATGCCAAAACAGGATAAAAGATAGCCAAATTGAATGGCCATCATGGAACTGTCTACTCAGTGTGTTTCTCTTCTGATGGAAATATAATCGCTTCTGGTAGTGGTGATAACTCTATCCGTCTATGGGATGCCAAAACAGGATAAAAGAAAGCCAAATTGGATGGCCATCGTGGAACTGTCTACTCAGTCTGTTTCTCTTCTGATGGAAATATAATAGCTTCTGGTAGTATTGATTAGTATATCTGTCTATGGGATGTTAAAACAGGTTAATAAAAAGCCAAATTTTATGGTCATAGTGATAGAGTTTTATCAGTTTGTTTCAATCATGATGGAAATACATTAGCATCTGCAGGTGATGATAAGTCTATCCTTTTATGGGATGTCAAAACAGGAGAATAAAAAATTAAATTGGATGGCCATCGCGGAACTGTCTACTCAGTCTGTTTCTCTTCTGATGGAAATATAATAGCTTCTGGCAGTGGTGATAACTCTGTCCGTCTATGGGATGCCAAAACAGGATAATAGAAAGCCATGTTGAATGGTCATACTCGTTATGTTATTTCAGTTTGTTTCTCTCATGATGGATATACATTAGCATCTGGT